ACATCGGCCCCCCCATCGCCGGAGCGGGCCACTGCCCAGACGCAGACATCGGCCCCCCCATCGCCGGAGCAAGCCGCTGCCCAGGTGCAGACATCGGCCCCCCCATCGCCGGAGCAAGCCACTGCCCAGGTGCAGACATCGGCGCCGCCATCCCCGACCCCAGAGCAGGTCCCCCCATCCCCACGAGTCGATCAGGTGGTTGTCTCGGTCCAGACCTCCGCACCGCCGAGCCCCGAGCGGGCGGCCACCTGGTCGCAAACATCGGCCCCGCCAACTCCCGAGCAGGCGGTCACCTGGGTGCAGACCTCCGCACCGCCGAGCCCCGAAGCCAGGCCAGTTGCCCGGTCCCAAACACCGGGCCCAGGTTCCCCCGTGGAGCAGAGGGCCCCGGGCATCCAGACTTCGGGCCGTTCATCGGCGCCCGGATCGCCACTTGCCGTGGCCATTCCACCAGCGGCAGTGCCATCCGCCCAGCAGCTGCCCGCCTGGCTTCCAGCCTCGGCCTCGTCGTCAAGTGGATGGCGGCCGTCGGCCGGGGCCCAGACATCGGGCTCTCCATCGCCGGTGGGGCCCGTTTCTTCGGATGCTCAAACATCGGCTCCGGCCTCTCCTCGGCAGCATGCCGCCGGATGCCAGACGTCAGTCCCCCCATCGCCCGCGAGCCAGGGCACCGTCGCCGTCCAAACATCGGCCCCACCGACGCCCATGCGCCAGACCGCCGCCGTCCAAACATCGGCCCCAGCTACCCCGGTATCGGCCGACGCCGCGACACAGGTCTCGGCCGGGGCCACCCCCCTCCCCGGTGCCGGGTACCCCGACACCCTCAACGCCCATGATGTCCCGGCTCAAGTGGGGGATGCCCCCGGTCGTGTTGTGGCGTTGGATGTCTCGCGACCTCCCCCAGGCGGCCGGGCGATGGGGGCACGGCCACCGCGAGTCCGGTCGTCGAGTCTCGGCGCGACGTCGCCCCACCTGGCTGACGGTTCGGCCGGGGTGCTGCTGCTCCACCCGGCAGACTGGCATGCCACTCGGGCCTCCGGGGCGACGACAGACGCCTGGACCCAAACATCCGCCAGCCCGTCGCCACTCCGGCCGACGGCCACCACGCAGACTTCGGCCCCGGCATCGCCCAGCCGGCGGAGCATCTCCATGCAAACCTCGTCCCCGGTCCCGGGCCTGGCCCGGGCTTCCCCGGTGTGGCTGAGCTCATCGGCACACACCTCGGCTCCGCCGTCCCCGGTCCAGCTGGCCGCCTCGGTGCAAACTTCGGCCCCGGCATCGCCCGACCGGCCAAGCGCATCGACGCAAACCTCGGTCCCGGCATCGCCCGACCGACCAAGCGCATCGACGCAAACCTCGGCCCCGGCATCGCCCGACCGACCAAGCGCATCGACGCAAACTTCGGTCCCGGCATCCCCCTCCTCGCCCATTCACGCCTTCACACAAACCTCCCCCTTACCCGGGAGATGGTCCCCGACCCGGTCGGGCCTGCAGCATGCCTCCGTGCCGGCACCAGTCGGCCGCATTTTGGCGCCGGTGTCGGCGCCGTGCACCAGCCTGGCCATCGGCTCGCAAACCTCGGGGCCGCCCTCGCCGGCCATGCGCGATGTTGCCTCCCACACGTGGGACTTCCCCTCGCTGACCGGGGTCGATGCGTGGGTCCAATCGTCGCGATCCCCCTCGCCGGTGGCGCGTCGCCAGGCCGCCTCGCAGACCTCGATACCCCCCTCGCCCGAGGCCGTTCACCGTGCGGCACAGACATCAGCCCCGCCTTCGCCGGCCGGGGTGTCCGTTTGGGTGCAGGCCTCGAGCTCCCCGTCGCCGGTCGAGCGCCGCCAAACTGCCTGCCAGACCGGATCACCGTCCCCCCCGCCGGTGTCCGTCTCTCGGGCCATTCAAACTTCGGCCCCGCCGAGTCCCGGTGTTCAACCTTCTGGACCGGCTTGGCCGACCCAGCGCCCGGCCGTGGCGCCTCCCCCCGCCATGGGATGGTCGGGAGCCCGGGCCACAAGCCCCATGGAGCAAGTGCCACACCCACTGGCACCGGTTGCTTCGGACACCGGCGTGCGGCCCCCCCGGCCGACCTCACCAGGCCCGTCTCGCACATCGATCGATGCCTCGGCGCAGACTTCACTTCCAGCCTCGCCCGTCCGGCCACACGGTGCGCACCTGTCCCCCCCTATGCGGCCTTCAGCCTCCGCCCGTCGCATAGCACCGATATTGACCCTTCCCGTCGCCCCCTTCGCTCCGTCTCCGCTCCGTCTCTGTTCGCCACGCACGCCATGGCCCCAGACTGGGAGCAGGTGGAGCTTGGTTTGATTGCGGCTCTCGGGCTGCTGGCCACGCCGGCAGCATCGGCTAGCAACAGCACCCCCCCGCCGGCTACCGTGCCCCGTCGGCAGGGGCCGCTTGCACGGCCGCGACTTGCGCGACGCCCCGAGGCTCTCCTTCTGCGCCGGATGCCTGGTGTGTCTGCGCCTTTGGCGGCACCCGCAGAGGCGACCCGGCCGTCGACGCCGGTTGCCGTGCCCATCAGCCCGGTGACTGATGAGCTGGAGATCGCCGGGCTGTATGCCGCCCTGGCTTCCCTGGCGGATGGGCCACATGCGCCGCCGAGCCGGCCCACCGCCCCGACCACCGCCCCGGTCCAGGCCGTGGGTTTGCCTGCCCGGGTGAATCGCCGGCGCATCCTGGCACGCGTCCACCACCGCGCGGGTCAACTCCACGCGGCGCACGGCCAGGCCCTGGCGCATCTCGAGCAGCATGTCCAGCAATCTGACCGCCGGATGCGCGTGGCGCAGGCGGCTCGGCTGCTGGCGGTCTCTCGCGGTCGACACCAGCTGGCCGCCACCACCCGAGCTCTTGAGTCGCAAATCGCCGGTCTCACATGCGCCCTGGCCATCACCGAGCAAGTGGCCGCAGCCAGGGCGGCAGCAGCCCCACCGGCCGCACTGGGCCCCGTCCTTCCCCCGCCCGTGGCCTCGGCTGTGACAGTGTCCACCCCCACACTGGCACCCCCGCCGGCGATGCTGCCGCCCCTGCATGGTGTTGCTGCTCCGATGGTGAGCCCCGCTCTGCCAGTGTCGCCCTCCCCCTCGGGGATGGAGGCCCTGCCGGTCGCTGCTCCTCTTGATGCTCCCCCTCCGGCTGTTCCTCCTGGTGACCCTTCCCCGGCTGCCGCCTCGCCTGGGGGCGCTTCTCCTGCTGCCATTGTCGCGCCAGGCGGCGAGGCTGCGCCGGCCGGGGCTGCCCCGCAGGAGCCGACCACCCCGGCCATGGCCGTCGACATGGCCGAGGGGGTCCCCGCCCCGGGGGGTGCTATGCTACTGGCTGCTGTCCAACCGATGGCCGCCACCTTGCCCTCGGCGCTTGCTCGCCCCTCCAGGGTGGCAATGCATCGGCATGCGGCGCCAGCTGCCACGGTGCTGCCGGGCTCGCGGCATCACTCGGCTCGTGGGCGTCTGTCGAGCATGAAGACGTCCATTCGCTCGTGCTTGCCGCGACTCGTGGCGCAGCACCCTTCACCGGCAACTGGACGCCCGGTGACACCGTCCTTGTTCTCTCCCCTGCCGCATGGTGACGAACTGGCTGGCCGGTCGTCTGCGACTCGGTCTCCTTCTCCCACGGCGGACGGCACTCCTTGTCCACCAAGTCGCCCGGCACATGACCAGCCTCCGGCCTCATTGTCGGACAGGATTCCCCTGCTGCCCGGCCCCGAGGCTCCCCTGGTACCGAGTGCTGGGCCGGAGGCGGGGCCTCCGCCGCCTGGGCATGGGCTCCAGCATGAGGCCGAAGCCGAGCCTGCCCCGTTGTTTGTACCCCCGGCCGGCTCCATGCCCGGGAGTGGCGTGGTGACTGGACGCCAGTTGGCGCCGGCTCGCTCTCCGGCGCCGCAAGGTGCACACCATCTTGCGCCTGTCTCCTCAACTCCCGCCGCATTCCCGGGGCCGGGGCCCGAGGCGGCATCCGTGTCCACGCCACGCCCGGAGCCCATTCCCGGGCCCGAGTTCGATCCTGCATCGGCCCCAGATCCCGGGCTCGTGTTCGATGAGGGCCCTGTCCCCGAGGCCGAGGCCGAGGCCGAGACCAGCCCCGCGCGTGGGGTGGCAGTCATCCTCATGCCCGAGCAGCGGGCCGAGCTGGCGCCCGTTCTCTCGGTTGCCCCGGAGGCCGATGTGCCACTCGGGGAGGTGACTTGTCCAGCACCCGCCCCCATGCCGAGCCCTCCGACGCCCTCCCAGCGAGATGCACCGGTTGTCGGTGTTCCGCCCGGCCCGGCCACCGGGCCCGCTGCCCGGGCAGGTCACCTGGACCGGAGCCGGATTCAACGCAACCTGACCCGCTCGATCCGGCGCATTCGCGGGGCGACCGCAGCGCAGGCCGCCGGGCCGGTTGCCGAGCAGGTCGCCACCTCCACGTCGAGCCGATCGCCAGCCGGCGATGTGGCCACGTCGGTGTCTGCGCCTGCCGCTCTTCCCAGCCCGGCGCCTTCTTCGGTCGGTGTCGTGCCATCGCCGGGAGAGACCCCCATTGTCTGTGCCCCGGCAACGCCTCTGCCGCTGGATTCCGGCTCGGCAGCACCCCGCCCGCTGGCCCCGGCCCCAGAGACGCCTCCCCCGTTGGTCGCCGCGTCGCCGGCCCTCGAAGGCCCGCCATCACCAAGCGTGACTGTGTCATCTTCTCGGTCTTCGTCGCTGCTGGCCTCGACGGCCTCGGTGAGCCCGTCCTCGTCGATGATGCTTGCTCCGGCGGCTCTTACGCCGCTGGGCGTGGCTTCGGCCGGCCTGGTGCCGCCGAGCGCATCGGTGTCGATGGATTTGCCAGCCCCAGCTCCGTCGGTTCCATCCGCCCCGTCAAGTGCAGCCCCATCCGCCTCGGTGGGTTTTGTGACGCCTGCTCCGCCTGCGGCGATCGCAGCTCGTCCTTCATCCTCGGTGCCACCTGCCGTGTTCTCGGGGCTGGCCTCGTCATCAGGTCCCCTGCACATGGACGACCTGGCTAGGCGCTCGACGGCCGAGAGCCTGCTGCTGCGTTCTGATGACAGCGTTGTTGCTACTGCTGCTGTCCCGGCTGTCGCTCCTGCTGCTGCTGCTGCTGCTGCTGCTGCTGTCGCTGCTGGTTCCCATGCTGCTTCGGGTCCCGTGGCTTCGACAGCCCAAGCTCGGCCCCCGAGCCAGCCTCCGCACGTCCGACAGACGTCCCCATCGACTCGCCCAGGTCCACAGCTGAGCCAGCTGGCCCGGCACCATGCGGCCCTGCATGCGGCATCGCTCTTTTCCGCCCTCTCCGCCGGGCAGGCCCCGCAGCCCGCCATGGTGGCCCCGCCTCTGCCTCCACTGGTTGCTGCGGTCATCGCTAGTGGGCCTCCCTCGCCGCAACTGCCGAGCGACCGGCGGGCCACCTCGGCCCGGAGTATGGCCGCGCAGGCGGCCCAGTCCTTCGCCCAGATCCTGGGAGCCGGCACAGGTAGGCCCCATGCCGAGCAGTCGCCTGGCCTTGCGTCTCCCCCGCCGGCGGCCCCGAAGCCGGCTCCCCTGGTTCCGACGGCCGACGGGGCCAATCCGATTGGCGACGTGGCGCACGTCCTCTCACAGTGCGTCCCCTGCCAATCGCGCTGCCCATCCCTCCCCCCCCCCCCCCCCCCCCGCCCCAGGTCGAGGTATGCCTTTCTCTTCTGCCCTTCCCTGCACCCTGCTGACCTGCTGGCTTGCCTTCCCGCTTTCGAGCAGACTTTCGCTGCTGGTTCGACAGCAGACGCAGCTTCTCCTGGAGGAGGGCCAGCATTGGCCCGGGCCGCCTCGACATGCACTCGATCCAAAAGGGGGCCCTCTCGGGCGGCGGCACTGAATATGACCGGCCCCGCTGTGCCCGGCCCCGCCCCGCCCTCCAATACACCCCCCACACGGCTGGTATGCATGGTGACCACAACACACGGAGACAGGAGAGCGTAATATACAGGGGAAGGGGGAGCAGCTGCTGCGACAGCCGGGGTCGTCGCAGACCAATGTGAAAGGAGGGGAAGGAGGAAAGGCCAGCCAGATGGAGGGGACCGGGGAAGGCCGGGCAGGAGCGCCCGCGGCAAGATGCCCGAGACGCAGAAGGCCACGCCGGCAGCCTAGATAAGATGCTCTGGCCGGCGGAGGCGGACGCCCTCCTCGGACAGGGCGGCCGACAGGTCGTCCACCGTGAGGACGTGCTTGCGGTCCTGCTACACTCGCAGGCACACCCCCGGGGAAAGGCGGGAGCAGGGACAGGGGACAGCGGGAAAGAAAGTTGTAGAGAGAGAGAGAACGGCGGAGCATAGGAGGCGAACTTGTGTGAGTGGCCATGGCGCGCGCAGGAAAATAGGCAAGGCGCGCCCAAACAGGCGAGGGTGGCGAACCTTCCGGGCGCGGCGCTTGGTCTCGGCCATCATGCGGGCCTCCTCGCCCTGCAGGCGCAGGAGGCTATGGGAGAAGGCATCCCGGGCCAGATCGGTGAGGAATTTCTGCGCGGCGAGCGAGATCAGACGCTTCCTGAAGGGCCACAAGGCGCGGAGGGGGAAAAGCAAGGGGGGGCGGGGGAAAAGAGCATAGGTCAGCTGAGTGCCGAGGCAACGGAAGGAGGGGAAGCAGCCGCGCGGGGGCGCGCGAGCGTGTACGCACATCCGAACGTCCGAGCACTCGAAGCCGGCCCGCTGCATGTAGTAGGTGGTAATGGCGTCGGGGATCTATACCGGCGGGAGAGTTAGTAGCTGGCGAGAGCCCGGCAGGGCGGCGGACAAGCGGAGACCAATGGGAGATGCATCCGGGCAAACGCACAACGGTCGGCGTGTCGCGCAGGGACATGTAGAACTCGGGCAGGCTCTGCTCGCGCATGGTGAGCTCCTGCTCAGCACGCGAGAGGCTGGCCGGGCGACCGGCGAAGGAGAAAGAGAAGCAGGGAGATGGAGGGAAAAGGGAGAAAGAAAAAGGGGGCAGGGGCACAGTGGGTGAGCGAGAGGGGAAGCCGAGGAAGCCGTGGGGCAGGGGGCCGGGACCGAGGGTGGCGAGGGAGCCAAAGCCGGACGCACTCGTCGAAGTCCACGATCTTGGGCACCGGCCCGCCGTGGTGGCTGCCGGGGACAACATCCTCGAACTCCTCCTCATCGAAGTCCTCGAACTCGTCGGAGCCGTCAAGGTCGGCCTCCGGGACGCCGTCAGCGTCGGACCCGGCGTCCCCATCAGCCTCGTCCGAAGAGCCGGTCGCCGGGTTGGTCGCCTCGGCGGGAGCCGCTGCGACAGGGGGAGGAGGATTGGCCGCGGCCAAGGCCGCCGACCGGGAAGCAGAAGACACATCCTCGAAGTCGTCCTCGAAGTCGTCGGAGGCGTCATCCGAGAGGTCGACCCGCTGGCGCTTCTCGTCCGGCGAGCCGGGCGCCTGGCCGTCGGACTGGCGCTTGTTGCCAGCGTTGGGCATGGCTGGGCGGGGGGGGG